CACTACAGTAAAATATTTCTTAATATTTATTAACAATTGCTTAGGGAATTCTGGTTGTCCCAAAACCCTATATAATATATGGTAATCACAATAAAAGTAAATTATGTAAGGGCATTTGTGGGAAAGCAATAAGCGCTTAGAAATCTGTGTGTACGTATGTTCCTTGATCTTAACAGTATGATGGTAAATAAAAATCTGCAGCAAACAAGGGTACAATTTTGTAATACTTCACTGTTTTTGAGAAGGAATGGGCATGTCTTATGTTTCTTCAGATAAATATATTTTGTTAAAGTTGCTTACATTTTTTATGTAAAGTAATCACAAGGTGGCTTAAGGCCATCTATTCCAGGATTCAGATGTGAGCACAGAACTCTTGATTTTCATATAATTCTTGCATTTTTAGCATTTGATGCTCTGTACAGAATTTAGTATATTTGTTGGGTCACTGGTAACACACCCATAGTTTCAAATGTCATTCAGATTGATATAACAGTGAGAAGATTTTTAGGAATGAGCAATTTTTTAGAACAGCATTCAGTATGATGTCATAGGTTCAAGGCCAAGTCAGTTCTTTGCCCAGACATACAACACATATTTGCAATGGGAGAATTCCCATCACTCAGTTCTGTAACCTGACAATTCTTATCTATACAGAGTATAATTTACACTGTGAGAATATACTCACTTCTTGCAATAAATTCAAATTTATTGAAACTTTCAAAGCAATTCTTCAGTGTAATGATGAGAAATGGGAATCAGACAGCATCTTGAAGCTCTTATCCCAGATTCTACCTGGATTGTCCTTTGAAACTCATAAAAAACAGTCAAGGAAGGTGGTCAGTAACATTTTGTTACATCACTTTGAAAACTATTATATTCAAATGTTATTAATTAGTTTAAAGAAAATGTTTTTGGTCATGGGGATACAAATATTAAGAACCTCTAACTATTAAATGTAATAACCAGCTTACAGAATATACCTTTATCTGTTACAAACACAATGCTGAACATTGTATAATGAAAGCCTGGCCTGAGATATAAATTCTTCTCTTTATCATAGTAACATCTTAGTTTACACAAAATTTATTATTTTTACATTTTGCCTTCCTCAACTCTATTCACCTCTAATTGCTATTCAGGAAAATGTATTCCTGTATATTACATACAAATATAATACCTTTTTATTATGAGCTGCCATTAGATATAAGCCTCGATAATAACTAAACAGAAGCATTGAATGATATAGATAATTGCAACTCATTTGGCAAGTCCTGAAAATACTATATTGCCCAATTCCTCTCACAGCAGTGGGGTAGCATCTTTTGTAATAATACCAAGTAATTAATTATTGTGCAAAGACTGATGTGATACAGTTTTGACACAACTGAATATTCTAATGTATATAATAATAAATATTGTAATAAGACTTTTTCTGGGGTGTACACCTTGCTATGACTGATACGGCCTATTTTTCTGTGGTATAACACATTTGATCATAACTGTACTGTGATTTCTATACTCTTATTATTACAATGTGTATGTCACAAATTATTGTACATGTCTGTTGTTTATGTTCCATTGCTCTTCTGTTTGTGGGAAATGGATTCTGTTCTGATACCTAAACAGGAGTCCTGTGCTTTGGATCTTAACACTGTTTCTGATTGGCACTTTCATATTCTAGTTGGTTTACCTGGCAGCTTTTTATAGAGTATTTTTTGCATGGAGGCATATTTCATGTAAAAGTTAATTGTGGTTATATTTACAAATTTTGCTTATATAGATAACAGACAAATTTTATTTGTACACAAACTTTACTTTATAGATACTGACAACTTCAAACATCAGATTATGAAGAAATTCAGGTTTCTTCTGCAGGCCTATTTATACATTATTAACACTTTTAACCACAACACCTGCCAGTAGAAGAGAACTGACTAAGTGAAGTGTGATTAACACTTCTTTGGAAGTATCCTAGTCAATTGTATTTTACACAGTTCACTTTTATATCATTAATAGTGTGTATAAACAAAATCTGTTTCAAAATCAGGTTTTTACATTGCTGTGTTACTTTTTGAAAATAATAAGGTAGTTCTCCAATGTGAGAACTGCTATTACCAACATCCTTAAGGCTACATTTCTTGACATACACTTTATATACATATTTAGTAGTATGTACACACACACACACGCGCGTGCGTATATATTTATAAACAGAAAGTCAAAGTATACTATACTCTCAACAATCATTGATAAACAAATGAAGCAATAGGGCAAAAAACTATATTAATATTTAAATTTCATGTTTACGTTGTTTTGTGATAGTAATAGTGAAAACCATATAAACTGGACTGCAGTGTACTCCAGTTTTTAGGTGTGTTAGGAAGTGAACGTTACAAAAATGTACCTATAAGCTTCAACATGCTTCTTCTGTCCATCCACACATTGGCATGTAACAACTTGAGTATGATTGAACTGCTGTCATGAAGTTTAATATTCAGGAATTTCACCATAATTTATAAATATATTCCAGTTGTTTAAAATTAGATAACAATAATGGACACTTTATGTGAAGGCCCTACATGTGTTTGATTCTGACTAACACACCAGAACTGTAAATATTTCCTGGCCTTTTTTTTTGTGAATAAGGCATTAACATTTTCATCAAAGCTATTCACAACAGTTAAGAACATTCAGAATGCCAAGATGCAAATAATGTATATGTGGAAAATTTTAATTTTTTTTAAAATAATTTCATATTTCTTATGTATGCTTATAGATACTTAGTATTCTCTTAAGATGAGCCAGTCAATAATGGTAAATAGTGGAAGCAATCCAGCACAGGATTCTTGTCAGTTCCAAAGCTGAACTAATGGATAAATATGTATGTATATTCTTAAGTGGCATACAAGGCATTGAAGAAAATACAACAAAACTTTGTTTGTTTAAAGGTAAACAGATGTTAATAACATCAATATGTGAGAGAAAAATAATGCTGCAAAGGTTGTCTCATAAATAAATATCTGCACAATGCCTAATGTTGTTCGACTATATGGGAATATTGTTGTAGATTGTCTTACTTTACCCAATGAAAATGGACTCTAGGCAATGTATGTTTTCCTTTCTAAAATGTAATGAAGCTCTCTTGTACTTACTAAGAGTTCATCTTCAAACAGTATTCAGTCATTGGTAGTTAACTATACATCCACATTTCATCTAGGAAAAAGCAAATGCTTCATGAGTTAAAACACTGAACTTCAGTAGACAGCACTATCTTTGAGTCATTTCCTTGAACATCAATATCCATTCAGATGTAGAGACACCATACTACAGCAGAATAATTTGTCTAACCACCAAGTACCATGAAGTGTGGAATGTAATTTGCTATTTGTGTATACAGTGAAACAAATGTTAACCCCATTAAATGTAAATCAATGGAATGAAATGTGTTTAACTAACTATGAGCATGTTCTTTGTACATAAAACTCTCAACTAATAAACGAATGGCTCAAAATATTTGTCAAGCAAACACTGTTATTTATTTCATACCACAGTATATTTTTTGTGATAATTTCTATAACATTTTAATAATAATAAGGATAAGGATGAGAATAATAATTTTGTACTTCAATTTATGGAATTATTTTATAATTCTCTTAATCTTTTCTATAAGTTGCATTTTTATATTGTAGTTTTCTAGGGGATTGAAATGGTCAATCAAGTTGAAAGAAAAGTAATGCTGAATAAGGAGAGTATATGTGAAGGAAAGAGAACTGATCACTGTCCATTTTGAAGCGAAACTATTCTTTTACAGAAGTAGGAATATTTTGAGCAAGTGTTTGAAGCCAGCCAGCTCATTCAGTCTGTGTTTTGTTATTGTGGTATCGAAATTTAATTACTTAAAAAAATGTTGGACCTACGCAGAGACTAGATTGTTACACAGTCATCTATGTACATTTTAATTTATGGAAATACTTTAGAGAAGGGATGAAGGATGTAATATAAACTCTGCATAGCATAACAGAGCTGCATTTTAGTTATCTCTATTTGACGTAATTCAAATACTAAATATCCAAATGGAAACCAGTCGATGATAAATTCGATTACTACATACAATTATTCAGGTTATTCAATATTTCGATGTATTTAATAATTCGAAAATTTAATTTTGCCACATTAAATAATCACGACCTGTATGTTCACATCGGCAAATTCTCTAAAACGAAATGCAGCAAAAAAGTGACATATGGAAGGCCGGTTTAAATAATAAATTCTTGATTTATAAATTGCAATATTTACAGACATATACAAAATTGTGATATTATTTCACTCTTGCATGCACCAATCCAGAGGGCTCTGACACATTTCATTGATTCCTATTTATACGACCTTTTCCATGGCCTTTAATCTTGTGTGCAGAATAGTGAAAATGCCCTGTGTATTACGAAGGTACGTTTGATTGTGTGGGGGGGGGGGGGGTTTTTTTTTTTTTTACTTTTACAATTC